GGATGAGATCGTGCATGGTAGCGAGCATTGCTCTGCAGCCAATGCTGGAAGCCTCAGCTGGGTGTTCACCAACAAAAAATAATGAAATAAAGAACACACACATGCAGAGTTAAACCCAATTTAACAAATCTGTAAATGTCGTAGTGTAGAATGAAAAAGTACAGTACATCTCCGTCAACTATTCTCTTTTTTCTAGAATCAGAAGCTGCTGCTTGTATGTTACTGCACACATTGCACTGAGACAAAGAGCAGTCCTGGACATACGGCCACTGAGCATTAAAGCCAACAAATAGCATAACTCAGCCCACAAACGGAGGCTGAGCTCCTTTTGTGTCCCGCAGAATCCGGAGCTGTGGGCACCCAGCACCGAAGCAGAAGCGCCGATCTCCTCCGGGCTGTGTTGGTGGTTTAGCAGAAAGTCAGACTGAAAGCAAACAATGACTGCGAGTGCCACCGAGCTCCTCGGCGAGACAGAGCTGCAGCAAAGCTTTTCCTTTATGCCCCTGGCAGTGGCAGCTGGTTCTGCCTGGGCACCACAATGGCATCAGCCACATCCAGCAGCGGTGGCACAAGGAATGGAACGGGGGATGCTCTGAGCTAATGGCACAGCCATTAGATTACCATTATTCTGATTTCTGAGAAATCAGAAACCATCATAAAAGCGGTGGTTGAATTTATAGAGCTGGAGCTCCGAAACAGAACTACGGATTATGACAGGTTAATGGGGATTGTGACATTCCCTATACATGTAAATAAACAGTGAATTCGAGGACCTCTGTTTTCCCAAAGCAGCAGTAAATAAAAGTCTAACAGAGACCTCATGTAAAGGAACCATATGCTTATAATTATACAAACATTGTAGATCCCCTGTGTGAAATTTCACATCCTTATTGCTTCTATTTTAATGTTTACAAAGTTAGCCGTAATTTCTCAAAAACAAATCTGATCCTAAACAGGAAAGACAATTTCCTACAGAATTTTCATTTTCTGCCCCAGATCGAGCACAGTGAGGACTGCTCCGACGCTACAAACACCCTCACTTTCTCATGCCGCAGTTTGGTTCCCGACTCTGGGATCTGTTTGGATGCTCTAGGAAGGCAGGAGCTGCTCCCCTCCTCATGTCCATATATCACACTGTTCATTGGAAGTGAGAGACAATGTGGTTCCAATCTAGTATAGAAACGCAGAGAGTTTGCAGAGAAGCGCCGCTGGCACTGCTTCGTGGCAAAATAAAGAGCCGTAAAAAGCAGCAGCATCACGATGGGTTACCCTGTTCCTTCCTCAGCTTTTCTTGTGAAATACTAACACAGAGGCAGAAGTGAAAGGAGCAGCCCTATGGCAGTCCTGCACCATGAGGTCCCCAGCAAGCTCCCACCACACCGTGACCCTGTGCAGTGCAAATATCCCTGCCAGAGCAAGGCATTGTGCAGCAGCACTGCCACGAGGAAGCAGAGATGTTCGGTATGTTTTAGCTGAAAGCAACGGGGGTCCAATTCTTCAGCTCTGGGTCTCTGGAAGAGGAGTTCCATTTGCACGTTGGGGCTGGCTGGGACCAATGCATCACTAGAAGGTAGCACATGGGAACCACATGGAAATGTTGTGCCCAATCTCTTGTGCCCATAGTAATCCCTGCATCCTCACTGTGTGGAGGATGCACATACTTTGCCTGGGTAGATTCACTGGTCATCCTGGTAGAAGAGGATTTTACTGCACAGAAATAAAAATAAGTGGTGGACCATTCATGGATTGTTCGTATTGAAATAAACCACAGCTTCTCAGTCAAAAAATAATTTCAAAAAAAGGATTCAGAGGGGGTAAGGCTGGATCCAAACAGATCGGCTCTACACAAATGCCATTCATACATCTCTATGCAAATGCCACTCGCACATCTCAGCAAATCTCATAAAAGCCCACAAAGCAGAGATGCAATGAGTGCTGCTTGGGGCATCACATGTGCAGGGCTGGATTTCAGCCTCTAGCACTGGCCGAGTATTGTTGCTCACTTCATGACTATAACAAGAGAAATCTTCACTGACTTTCCAAGGGCAAAAGAAATTTACCTTTGCTTGCAACCACCTCCTAGTTTTCAAGTGTTGCTTCTGGTATTTTGTTTGTTTTTTTTTTTCCAAGATGAGCAATTGGGAATTGGGGTTAGGAATTGGGGAAGCTCTTCATAAAACTATGGCTCAGAGGGCTTCGCCCGATCGCTTCTGTTTAAAAGTATATCGAATAGAGAATGGTTACACAATATCTATAATGCAATTATAAACTGAAAAGTGGCCAACTTTTATTGTTGAGAAAACCGGAAAGGAAATCAGTTTAAAAAATGCCATTATTCTTCTCCGGCTGCTGCTGTTGCTCCACCACTGTGCCGTGCACTGAGCCCTGGGGCCACTGCATGCCACTGGCACTGCTTCCCAGACCTCGTGCCCCCATCTGCCCCATATCATCCCACATCCAGACGTCGGGCACTGGCCACATCGCCAACCCCCAGCAGTGCCGAAAGCCCCGCTCCCACTGCGTGCTCTCAGTCCGCCACTGCACTTAGCTCACTGTCAGGACAATTAACTGCATGCTCCTGAACAATGGCATTGTCTTCTGTGATGTCAATAGGACACCCTGAGCAGCGGGGCCTGACGCTGCCATAAACCAAAGAGCAGCATGGGCGGTTGTAGCGCAGGTAGGATTGAAGTCAGAGCAATGGAGGCGGCTCTCAGGACCACTCGACCCTTGCAGCTTTGCGTTAGTATGAAACCACCTTCCCCTGAGAGGAGAGGAGGCCGGTGGGGGAAAATGCAGAGAACAAAGGGAGAATGGAGAGACGGACCGAGAGACAAAGGGAGGAAGGGCTGGGCACCCGGGGAGCTGTAGGGGATCCTGTGATGCAGTGAGGCGGGAGCCGTGCCGCACAAGGGGACCACAAGGAGGGGATGTGGGAATGGAACAATATCAGAAAAGGGAAAATAGGACAATGAAATGCAGCGTCATAGAAAAGAAAGAGCCTGGGGGGCTCGGGTTGGGCAGAAGTTGGTTGGCAGAGAAGAAACTGGAGCTGGGCAGCTGATGGGAGATAGCAGCCAGGAGCGTGGAAAGAGTGGAGAGGGCACCAAGGGGGCAGAAGGAAACAAAAAGAGGAGTGATAAGGCTCCGGAAGGAACTGGGTCACAGCCAGAAAAAACAGCCAAAATGCAAAGTGAGGGGCGGAAAGGATGGGAACGGCAGAGAGGAGCAGAGGAAACAAAAGTGAGGCAGCAGAGAAGTGGAGCTGATGGGAGGGGAGGTGTGGGGGTCCCAGAGCAAGGAACCGCAGATGAAAAGAAGGGGAATGGTCAGAGGGAGGATGGGGAGACAGGGAAAAGGCACAAGGAGCAAAAGCACAATAAATAAAAGGAGGTAAAAAACCAGGATGAAGCAGTGCAGGAATTGATTCTATAGAAATGTTGCCTCATTTTTGCACTGTCACTGATACTCTTTTGTAGCCCAATTTCTTCATAATTCATCTCCCAGCATCTCTCAGTACTTCTATCCTACCATAAAGCAGCCAAGACAAGGACTGGCCCTCTCAAGCCTGAGTGAGCCCCTGCCCCTGGCATCAGTTTGATCCTTGTTGGAGCTGCCTCAAGAACTTGAAAACTGAGCCTCTCATTGGCTTTGGAGGTCCCCTTGCTGTTCCCATCTCCATTGGCACCCTTCCCAGGATCTGTCCATTGGTAGCCCCATGGCAAACCAGGACCTAAAAGGACAGGTGCCTGCCCCTTGTGCCTCACCTCACCCTGTGTGCACATCCTGCTCTGGGAGCAGTGCCAGAGTCATGGCAAGGGCAGGAGGGCTGCCCTCCCTGAGTGGAACATGAGAAGCAGTGAGAAAAAGAAAGTCTGAGGTATGATGGCATGGCCCATGAAGAACTACTGCTGATTAAGGAGCATTGCCAGGGATGTCAAGTTCCTTTTATTTATAATGACACATTCCCTTTATTTGCTATAGACATAGCATTTGCTGCATGTCCCTGCATGTGTCCCTGGAGCTGCAGCATCTCCCACTGAAAGGAGAAGAAAATCCACCATTGGCAGAACTGGGACAGATAACAGAGGTGGGAAGAAGTGAGGAATGGAAGACAGCAGAAGAAACTGGGGAGAGCAGAAAGGTCAGTGTGGGACAGAGGGCAACAATGGAGCAGAGGAGGAGGGACAGGACTCCTGGAGCAAGAGTGCAGTGGTTTGGAGAGGATGATGAGAAGGTCGAGAAGCAGTAAGGAGTGAGCTGGAGGGTGGAATAATGCCAATTTGTCCACTTCGTCTATAGCTCTGAGCTCTGCAGCTGGATGCAACCATTTGGAAGTTAAGTCTTTCTCTGCAGGATGCATCTCTCTGAAAAGCTCAATGCAAAGGGATGGGTGAGTCCTGATGGCACAGGACTCTGCTTGCTCTGTTGATCTCCCCAAGTGCCGCCAATCTGTCAGTGCTTTTCCCAGACCATAGGCCAGCACCGTGCTCTTCTCGGGAGGTTCCCTTTGGGGGCAATTCTAAGGCAAAGACACCAGCCTGCAGCTCTTCACTCATGCACTTTCCCTTTTCTCCCAGAGCTCAGGCCCTGCCTTGGAGCTGCCTACTCGCAGGGCACATCTCCTATAGAGACCCCCACTTGTGACAAGTTCTGCTTCTGAGAACATAGCCACGGCAACAGGACCAAGCCCACGACCGCTGTCTGAGCACACCCACACCCGAAACCCCAGCCCCCGACTCGCTGCTCCCATCCATGCGGAGCGAAGGGCACAACCGCGCTCCTCGGCCCTGCCGAGCCCCCGCCGCCCCCGGCCGTCTCGGGCACCCAGCCCGCCCCGCGGGGCGGTCCGCGGCGGGGCGGTCCGGGCGGCGGCGGGGCGGGGCGGGCTACTCCGGGCCGGGCCCGCCCGGGTGCAGTCCCCGTTCCGCGCCGCTCCGCCGCGCAGTCCCCGCCGCACGTCGGGCCGCCGCCGGAGCCTCACGTCGGGCCGCCGCCGCCCCGCCGCGATCGCTATGAATGCGCGCCGGGCCCTGCTCTCCGCCGCCTTGCTCGCCGGCCTCCTCTGGGATTTACCTTGCTGCCGCCCGGCCTCCCTCCCCGCCGCCGCAGAGCTGGCCAAGGGCGGGCGGGGCCGCAGGGCTCCGCGATACCCCCGGGAGAGCCGGCCGCGGCAGGGGGCACAGCCCGGGGGCCGGACGCCCCCGCGGGCGGAGCCCCACGAGTACATGCTGTCCCTCTTCAGGACCTACTCCGTCGCCGAGAAACTGGGTATCAACGCCAGCTTCTTCCAGTCCTCCAAGTCGGCCAACACCATCACGAGTTTCGTAGACAGGGGACAAGGTAGGTGCTGTGCCCCCGCCCGCCCCGTCGCACCCCGGGGCTGGAGCCCCGTCCGCAGCGCTGCCGATCCGTGGAGCTGGCGCCGCTCCGCTCACAACGTTTCCGTTTTTCTTTTCTTTCTTTCTTTCTTTTCTTTTCTTTTTTTCTTTTCTTTTCTTTCTTTCTTTCTTTCTTTCTTTCTTTTTTTTTTTCTTTCCCAATTCTTTTTCTTTCTTATCTCCCTTCGGGGCGCAGAAAGGCGGATCTGTCGGTAAACGGCGCATCGCGTTGTGTTGTTTCATAGCAAAGCCGCTCTGCAGCGGCCGTAGGTGGTGGTTCGGGAACCACGCGTGGCCGTCTCGAGCCCTCACCGGGAGGGGAAATGCAACCCCCGCTCTGCGGGAGCAGCTCGGGTGGAAATGCAGCCTCGGAAACATAGCTCTTCTGCTTTATTTCCGCCTGAGAGAAAGGATCTCTCTTATCGCTTCGGCTGGAAGGCAAATAGAAAACTCGCACTCGCTGCGCGTGGGGCTGCGCCGTCGGGGTCACCTGGAAAGGTCCGGCCCGACGGGTACAGGAGGCAGGCACACAGCCGCTCCAGAGCCCCTGGCCTCAGTACTGCCTCGCCCCGACGTGCCCCGACAGAGAGTGGCTCGGGGCCGCACCCGCACCCTTTGCACCTCCCGGGGGCCGCGTCCATCCATTCCGGGGCCAGGAGGTTGGACGCAGGTTGGACGGGGCGGGCGGCGGGGCCGGGCCGGTATCCCCGCTTCCCGCAGGCAGCAGTGTTGCCGCAGGGATTCCCGGGACCTCTCCGCTACTCCGTGTTCCCCGCTTCACTTTTCTCTCGTTACTTTATAGCTCGAGGGTGGAGATGGCGTGCGGATCTTCCCTCAAAATGCCTCTCCTTATTTATTAAGGTTTTATAATTATTATTATTACATTATCCTGGTTGATGACGAACTAACTCGGTGGCTCCTAAGGAAGGTCACGCATTCTCTCCTCCTCCCCCCTTCCCACCGTCACACCCAGTGCTCGGGGCGCCGTAGGGGGCTGCAGTGCCGCGGTGCTTCCGATGGACGGAGGGAGACGAGAGGTTTTGCTTTCCGTCTTCCCCCGACGGGGGCGTTTTTTTGCGTCGTTGTGGGAAAGGTGCGTGCGGGGGGAGGCTCTCCAGGCGTGAGGTTCTCGAAGTTCAGCCCTAAAAACGACCTCAGCCGCTTTCCCCGAAATAAATCGGGGGGCTTGTGGGGATGGAGCCACTCTCGGGATCGTCCTCGCCAGAAGAAAGACAATGTAACAACCGCAGCTCGTTGCGCTGCATGGGAGAATCTGCTCCGGTAGAGGCGATTCGCTACCAGAAGTCCTGCTCTGATGAAGGAAAAGCCTCACTTTTCCCCATTGATTTTGATTTGATGTGTCACGGGCTGTGACCTTCTGCTGGACCTTCCGAGGGTTGCTTAGCATCAAGCCACTGATTGGAGTATTTCAACTCAGTGATCTAATTGAGTGTTCATGTCATAACATAGCGAATATTGTCTGGTCTCCCATAATGAAGCGGACCAGCCAATGGCACATCACCAAAAACTTCAAGAGAGCTTCCGTTCCTCTGAAGTGGGAGCCGCGTTCCTGCCCACCTCCCCGTGTGCTCCCAGCCCGCTTAATTGGAGCGCTGCTGATGATGAACGGCCTTTGCTCGGGGGAAGAGGGGGGAAGGTTCTCTCCATTCATTTGCAGACGGCAGAGCCGCCCAAATTGACCCAATTAGTCGGACGGGCTGCGCTTCACCGACGGAGCGGCCGCGCAGCGCTGCGCTGGGACGGAGCCGCTGGGGCTGCACGGGAGTGGGGCACCGCGGGACACCGCAGCGTCGGTCACGCTGCTGGGGGGCACCGAGGGAGACCTCCGCACCTTTTCTTTCTTTCCTTCCTCCCGAAGCTCACAGGATCGCCTTCAGGCTGCATCGGGAGGGAGGAAAGCCGCGCTGCTGCATTACATATGTATATCTATATGTAGATTTTCAGCGTAAAGAGCACAGAAAGAGGGGGAAAGCTCTGCGATTCCCCCTCTTCCAGTTCCCTCTCGCACCCCCCCACCCCTCCAACCCCCCTTTTGTTACGGTCGCAAGATCAGACAGAACCTCTCTGAATGTAGGAAAATTGCTGTTGGCACATGAAGTAACTCATTAAAACGCAGATGGTGCTCTCGCTGGCCCCGGGACCCCCAGCACTGCCACTCCGCTCTACAATTAGGGGCTGCGGGGCTGCACCGGGCAGGGCAGAAATAAAGGGAAGCGGCGGCTACGAACAGTGAACCCCGTAAGACGCGGGGCGAACCGAGAACAGAACGCGGGGTGAAGGAGCGCAGTTCTGGGAGTGCCCCGAGGGGAGCGGGTGCCATAGGGCGGGCTGCGGGGCTTCGTGCCTTCGTGCCCTTCTGCGTCCTAAAGGCTCCCGCAGCCGGGAAAAAGGAAAACGGGAATAGGTCGAAATCGTCTCGTTCCCCCCAGTTCCTTTGTACGCTTTCGTGTGCAGCCGATGGGGACGGGAGGGAGGAGGGGGGTGGTCCGATACGCGGTGTTTTACCGCTGTTGTCGGGGGGCGGGAGAAAGCGGAGAGCCCCGCGCAGGAGCTGCGATCGGCGGCAGAAAGGAGTGAGCAAATCCCGCTCGCAGTTCCCCGTGCCGAGCGTTTATGCAAAACAGCGGCTTTCTGGGTGGACCGAGAGCTGCAGCGCACCGCAATCTGCGCAGCGCCTTTGCCCAGGCGGTGTTGTCGTTGGCAAGAGGAAAATGAAATATAAGCGGGGAAGCATTTTAATGGGGAAGGAGGGAATTCACAACTGTTAATTATTTGGTGACCTTGTATTCGATTTGTTTGAGCCCCTTATAAAAACACTAATGCAGACCAGACGGCCGGAGAGCGCTGCGGCAGCGCTTCCAAACAGAGCCGAGCGCCCGGGGAAGGAGAGAACGGCTCGGCTCGGCTCGGCTCGGCCCGGTCAGCTCGGCTCGGCTCGGCTGTGTTGCTACCGCTCTGCCGAATCGGAGCAAAGAGAGCAAGGACTGCTCGGGGCTGGGGAGGCGGCAGACTTGTCTCCAAAGCCGCTGCGAGAGCAAACTTTGTGAAAAACACTGATTTCGGGAGAGATTTCTTTCTCATATTTTCCCTCCCCCCCACCTCCTCCCCCCTCCCCACCCTCCCCCCCCCCTTTTTTCCCCTCCGTTTGTTCCCTTCTGTGAATCCTCCGCGGGGATCCTCGCCCCGAAGGGACTGGGAAGGAGGGGAGGGGGGGCAGAGCTCGTGGCCCCTTTCGATCCGTGCCTACGACCGATCGTTTGCTCGGTTCTTAATTTCTCTCTCCTTTTTATTTTTATTTTTTTATCTTTATTATTTTAAATCCAGGATTTCCCCCGGTGAGGCTGATAGGAGGCTTTGGGTTTATTTTTAGTTTTAGTTAATGTTTTTTCATTAGAGAGAGAAAAGAGAGCTTTCCGCTCCAGGACTGCTCAGTTCCACCGGCTGCACGGAGCTCGAGGAGCCCAAACCCGGCTGCGGGCTCGGGCACGGAGAGCCTCGCTGCTCTCATTTGCCTCCTCCCTCTTTAGTCCTACTGGAAAAAAAAAAAAAAAAAAAAAAAAAAAAAAAAAGAAAGAAAGAAAGAAAGAAAGAAAGAAAGAAAAAAAAAAAAAAAAACCAAGAACAAAAAAACAAGGAGCCGTTGACGGCGAAGTGGTCGTTTCCCTGCTATCCCAGCGCTGCAAGTGAAGCCGGGAGCCCCTGCGTGCTTCTGGGCGAAAGGGGCCGTCCCAGCCCTCGTTGGTTGAGGGCAGCTCTGTGTGTTTTGTTTTCCAGGAACTTTCCCGTACTCCGCTCAAAAACTCCTTCAAATCGTCCCCTTGCTCCTTCTCTTAGCTCTGAGCTCAGGGATTCCGAATTTCGAATATCTATATATCTATATCTATACGCTTGGTTATTATTATTATTATTATTTGAGAGAGGGGGGAGCACAATGATTTCTCGTCGATTTCTCGTAGCAAAAGAGCGGACGGGAAGGGCACAGCTCTCACGGCCCCCCACGGCATTCAGCAGCCCCCGTGCAGCCGCTCTCCGCCTCTGCGCATCCCCGGAGCCCGGCGGGAGGGCAGCGGGGCAGGCGGGCCGCGGCACAACTGAGGCGGCCGTTCCGGAGAGGTGCCGGGAAAGCTGGGTGACGGAGGTACGTTGCTGGCGGAGGGAGAATGGAAGTAGCCTTCCGTTCGTTTCTCGGGGCTTTGGCAGCGTTAGTCCGAGGAAGATGCGGTCTCTCCCGGTTACTCGGTAGCGAAGGGAACGAAATATTGAAATCTCGCCGGGCGCCGTAAGAGAAAGCGGCGGCGATGCCGCCCGTTCGGAGGGGGAAGCTGAGAGCCGGGGAAGTCCCTCCTGGGGAGCACATCGGCAGCGCCCGAGGAATGCCCGCGGCCCCAACGGGACGGATGCGCCCGTTTTCACCTTATCGTCTGCGGAGGGTCCTTAAACTGCCAACGTGTTTTTGGTTTGAGAGTTTAAATACGGCTTGAAAGAGAATTAGGAATGGGAAAATTCTTCTCGAATGCGGTTTGGGTATAATTTGCAGTGATGTAAAGTTAAGATCGCAGCCCCGATGGGTTGGCCGGGAGCCCGGTACCTGATCTGCCATGAAAAGGGAAACTCCGCGTAGCCCTCGTTAACCCCCGGCGCGCCTCGGAGCCGCGGTGCCTGCGGGGAGGGGCTGCGTGGCCGGGGGTGTTCCGGGCTGGGGGATACCGGGAGCCGCTCAGCTCGGAGTAACGACAAAAAGGAAAGAAAGCTGCCGGCATCGCAACGCCGTGCGGGGGTCGGGCAGCCCTAGGCGGGCGACTCTTTTCAAATCGCGTCTCTCAGCCCCCTGGGTCTGAAGGGAGCGCGGAGGAGAGGTCCCGAGCAGCGCGCGGGGCTCGCACAAAGGCGGAGAGGCGGCCGCGGGGTTTCCGCACCGCTCCGTGCGGTGGGAAAGCAGCTCACCGCCCCGCGGGGCCGCCCCCCCTCCTTCCCCCCATCGAGGGCGGTGGTGATGCCGCTGTGTCCCCTCCCTCCGCTCTTTTCCCACTCTCTTGGTCCCGCTGGGAGCGGGCCAGGAGAGGGACAGGATTATGTATTCATCTGGAATTATTCGCTTACGAGACCGAATAAATCGTGTTTATCTGATGGGATTCGAGGCTGCCGCTTTGATACTGCCGCGATCGCTGCCCCTTCCTGAGAAAGAAGTCGGGAACTGATGGATCGGGGCGAGTTCTGCACCTCTCCTGTCGCCGTGTCCCCGCCTCGACACGGCACACTGAGACTGAGCCTTTGCAACGTGGGACACGGGGCGACGAACAGTCTCCCGCCTCCATCCCATCCCCTCGGCTGTACCGAGCGGGGGGAGCATAGCCCTTTGGAGCCATCCCCGGTAGGAATGGGGCTGTGCCCACATTAGGGGCTAATGCGGTTCCCTTGAGGCAGGCGGGTTTCTGCCCCAGCAACTCTCTTTGCCCCGCCCGGCCCGTGTCCCCGCTGGGGGCTGCAGGAATGCGCAGCGTTAATCCGCGCTGAGTCACTGCGCTCTGCGCCGCGTAAGGTTCTACAGCGCCGTGTCATGCCTGAAGGTCTCGGTGTGCATCAGTCGTGCCGCTGTTCCTCCCACTTTCCCCCCGCAGGAGGCTCCCCCGGAGCTGTCAGGTGGAGCTGAGGCTGTGAAATACGCTGATGAGGAGGAGCGCTGACCTCTGCTGTCAATAAATACCGTGGGCTGTGTATTTCTTCGGTCTTCCTCTGTCTCAGGAGCAGACCGAGCACGGACAATCGGAGAGGGGCTGCCCAACAGAGGCTACAGTGACACTTTTACTGTTGAAATATACACGGGCTTTACTGGCCTCTGGGGAGAGTGAGGGCTTGGGGAATTTCTGTGTTTGCTGGGCTGTAAACATTTTATTGGAAAGCAACTCGGGAAAATGTGGTTGGCTTTGTGAGCTGTGTTTTGTACACCCGTGTGTCAAAAAAGAAGTCTAGGTCATTCTCTTGGAGCTGAACATAAATGTGTACATGTACATATATGTGTATATATATATTTGTGTATGCATACAAACACAAAGCCATTGCTTTGACTGCAGTGCTGGGGGGCCACGGAAGTGCATGGAGCTGGGTTGCCACGTCCTTCCTCTGGTGTGGAGCATCTTGTATGATGTGTATCCTTCAGTTACTCCTCTCCTCTCCTCTCCTCTCCTCTCCTCTCCTCTCCTCTCCTCTCCTCTCCTCTCCTCTCCTCTCCTCTCCTCTCCTCTCCTCTCCTCTCCTCTCCTCTCCTCTCCTCTCCTCTCCTCTCCTCTCCTCTCCTCTCCTCTCCTCTCCTCTCCTCTCCTCTCCTCTCCTCTCCTCTCCTCTCCTCTCCTCTCCTCTCCTCTCCTCTCCTCTCCTCTCCTCTCCTCTCCTCTCCTCTCCTCTCCTCTCCTCTCCTCTCCTCTCCTCTCCTTCATTTCTTTTCCCTCTTCCTTCTTTGCTCTTCCCTTCCCACATAGCTGACGTCTCCTCTCCTCTCTCCCGCAGACGATCTCTCTCCCGCTCCACTCAGGCGGCAGAAGTACTTCTTTGACGTCTCCACGCTCTCGGACAAGGAGGAGCTGGTGGGAGCCGAGCTGCGGCTCTTCCGCCGCCCCCCCGCCGGCCGCCCGCCGCCCGCCGCAGCCGCCCCTCTGCTGCAGCTCTTCCCGTGCCTCTCCCCGCGCCCGCTACACTCTCGCAGCATGGACCCACGGGCGGCGGCGGCGGCGGGCTGGGAGGTGTTCGACGTGCGGCAGGGCCTGCGGGCGGGCCGGCCTTGGAAGCGGCTGTGCCTGGAGCTGCGCGCCTCGGCCGCCCGCGGGCCGCCGCCCCGCCGCTGGCTGGACCTGCGGGGCCTGGGCTTCGGGCGGCGGCCGCGGGCCCCGCAGGAGCGGGCGCTGCTGGTGGTGTTCACGCGGGCGCGGCGGCGCAGCCTGCTCGGGGAGCTGCGGGCCGAGCTGGGCGCGCCCCCGCCCGCCGCCCGCCGCCCGCCCGCCCGGCGCCAGCGCCGCACCGCCTTCGCCAGCCGGCACGGCAAGAGGCACGGCAAGAAGGCGCGGCTGCGCTGCAGCAGGAAGCCGCTGCACGTCAACTTCAAGGAGCTGGGCTGGGACGACTGGATCATCGCCCCGCTGGAGTACGAGGCCTACCACTGCGAGGGCGTGTGCGACTTCCCGCTGCGCTCCCACCTGGAGCCCACCAACCACGCCATCATCCAGACCCTCATGAACTCCATGGACCCCGGCTCCACGCCGCCCAGTTGCTGCGTGCCCACAAAGCTGACCCCCATCAGCATCCTCTACATCGACGCGGGCAACAACGTGGTGTACAAGCAGTACGAGGACATGGTGGTGGAGTCGTGCGGCTGCAGGTAGCGGGCGGCCGCCCCTCGGCGGGGGCTGCGCGTTGGCGGAGCCGCTCCGGCGGCGGAGGGAGACCGGGAGCGTCCCGGGGCGGAGAGCGGCGGATGGGGAAGGGCCGGCGGGCGTCCGTCGAGCCGCAACCCCGCCCTGGGGCTCTCAGCGTTCCGGCCGCCCTTCCGACGGGGGGAGATACGGCCAGAAACGGGCGGGGAGGGAGAGGGGCAGAGCGAAGGGCTGCTCCGTGCCTGCCCGCTCTCTTTCGCATTCCTGCGGGGTGACGGGCCTGGAACAGCCCGCCCACTCCATAAAAAGGAAAAAGAAAAAAAAAAAAAGAAAAAAAAAAAGAAAGAACTGCCCGAGATTGTGATTACCGGATAGGTGACATTTTAAGGCAGCGACGAAAAGCTGTGATGAGAACGAGGCGTGACGGACAGCGCGACGGGGTGAGCGGGGAAGGAGACGAAACGCCGTCGGATGTGGCGGCTCCGGCAAAGGAACGCGCCGATCCCTGCGCTGCCACCGCGGGCTCGGTGCTTTCGGGCATCGCTGTGGGCGGCTGTGGGGCCGCAGAGCTGCGAACCGGGATGGGGGGAAAGGGGGTGGAAGGAAGGGGAATCAATCAAACAAACAAACAAACAAAAACCTAACAAAAAAAGAGAGAAGAGAATAATAATATAAAGTGATAAAAATGCAACTTAAAAAGACTCGACCGGGAGCAATAATTTAAAATGCACATTTTGCTCGGGATGCACCGTTGTTCATATAAAAGTTGTAAATATTTGTTTATTTAATCGGACTGGAAAGTGCAAAGCAGAGATGAACAGCGTGCATTTCTTGTTGTTATTGTACAAAACATTATATGCACTCGAAATGTTATAATGTCTAATATTTGGAAAAGTTTATATTTGAGTTGTACAGAATTAAGCATTAATCAGATATTTCCTCCTTACCTAACATTATCGCCTCCTTAAAATATTATTGCAAAATTTAAATTCTGTGCTAATAACGGAGAAAGGAATTTTTTTACTGTCTACCTCACTATAATGCAAGTATTTACGACGCTCAAATTACCCGAGGTGAATTCATACTCAGAACTTTTATTTTTTTTTTTTTTTACCATACACCTTTACCGGACGGTACTCCAACTATTACTGTATTATTAAACTTTTTTTTTGTGGCAAAAAATCAGCTTGCTTTTATATGTTCCATTCTTCTGTTCAGCAGCTCTAAGCTCCCAACGTGGGCTGAATGCTGCAGAGCTGAGCTGAAGTGCCGCTGTCAGACCGACCTTCTCCCCTCCCCCCCCGCCCCGGAGCCCTGAAGCCGTTCTCCCGATGCGAGGACTTTTTGTACTCTCACTTTCACCTTTGCTGTGTGGCAAATGGCTGAGAAACGCAAAGGAGCCGCGCTTTGATTCCATTGAACGTGGTGATTCGTGGTGCTTTCACTGGGCGAATGCTTGGGGTGGGGTGATGCGGGCGGCCGTTTGTAAATCTCATCTGTACCGGGCACGTGTACATGCACTGTATTATGCTGATGAGCGAAAGATAACGGATGTTTTATAAATGATATTTATTTTTGTTGCGATGGGTAATGTATTTATTAAACCTTTCCTGGTTGTGTCTCAGCTAATGAGGAGCTGTTCTCTGGGAGGTGGTTTCGGGAAGGGAACCCCCCCGTCACGTTGGGCAGAGGAAGGGTGCAGGCAGCCTCAGGGCTGAGTCTCCATTGCAAAAAGAAACTCCATAAAAGGTACAGCAAACACACAGAAAAACCTCATCTCAAGTGCCAGGAAATGGTTCATCTGACGTGGGATTGTTACCAGGTCGCAATCTGCTCTCACACCCTTGGCAAAGTGCTCCCACCCGGACGGGTGTTGAACAAAGGCTGCGGAACTGGGTTATGCTGATCGCATTGCAGCAGCTCAGAGTCCTGCAGAAGAGCCCAGCCCCGTTCCTGGTTGTTTTACAACTTCCAGAGGAGTGTTTCTGTTTGGCTTGTATTGGTGTTTCAAGTTTACGACTGATAGTAGATTTGGAAGGAGCGGCTGTAAGAAGCGCTGCAGCGTTGAAGCCAGGTTCCAAGTTCTACCTGCTGCACTCTTGAGCAGCCATCATGATGTGCCACGTTCCTGCTCTCATTGCAGAGGAAAGCAATGAAAAACAACCCAGAAGATCCACAACGAGACAGGCTTCAATGTGCTCTCTGGAAAGGGATGCAATGTAAAACTTGGAGATTGTACAAAACTCACTCATAGCAGCGTGTGGGGGATGAACGGAGGATCCCTTCATTTCACCGATCCGATCCTTTGGCTACAACAATACCCTGTGGCTTTGAATGCAATTTCCTTTCCTTTCCCTGATACTGCTGCTATTGTAGCCCGCACGTGGCAGGCTGTGCTGTCACCAGGCTTTGCTCCCTGCTCAGCCCCAGATGTGGCCCTGGTGACCAAGGACCAGCAGGATGAGGAAGCCCTTAGGAAGAAGCAGTGAGGATTTTGCTGTGCTGGATGTGCACTGTAGAGTACTTTGAACCTTTCTCCAACATCATTAATTGCTTTTTTTTTTTTTTTTTTTTTTTTTTTTTTTAGGCGATACCTAAATGGTGGGGAAGCCCTTTTCCCAAATCCCTGTGCTTGCTAACCTTCAGGAGAACACCCAAAAATCACCAAAGAGTCACAACATCTCCTTTGGAGCAAAACCATTTGAACTTAGAGAAGGAGAGGAGACACTGGCCTTGCTGGGCATGTCTTTTGGATGCTGTAACCAATACAATGCTATCCGAGCCCATTTGAGCTCTTGCTATGGATGGGATCTCTTTCCATGTCCTTTTTCACTTCTGCAATATTCTTTTGTACAAAACTAAGCAGCAAAAGGATACAGCAAGGCTGAAGGGGGATTGTTCCTCTCTGCCCCTCTCCCGCCCTCCCCCAAGAGCTGAACAAAATAAAACCACTCATTATTTTTTCAGCTTTGACCACAAATACCGAAGTCTTTTGTTACAGAGAACTCCAAATATGGCAATTCAGTGGATGTGTAGCTCAGATCTCAGTGTCCTGCCAAAGCAATATGAATTCCCATTTCCATTTCTCAATTCCCTGTGCTCAAAATCACGCATGTGGAGGGGAAATGATTCCTTTCATTACATTGCTGTCCAGAAGAGGGAGCAGGGTCTGCTGGGTGATGGGAACAGACACGAGCAGGCATTGGGCAGCCCATCCACCTCTGCCTGCACTGCTCCGACACATGTGAATGACCAATACTTCTCTGAGATACAGAAATGCATCAAACTGTTAAATAACGGATGTTAGAAGGAAAAAAGAGTGGGCTGTGGGCTTCAGCCCTTTCTATGTCTGCTTCTCCTTTTCAGACTCCAAGCTTACATTGATTTATGGGGGTGGGGCTGTAGGTTTACAAATGTTTTTTTGGAAAAATGCTGGATCTTCCATGAACAGCAAGTCCGGCTTCCTCTTTACTACTTCCATGCAGATGATAACCCAGTCTGTTTGCTGAAATATGTAACGTTAGCATCATTTGGTTTTCCAAATGTTAGCAGAAAGACAGAGCTGATGACATTGGATGAAACATCTTCCTTTAACTTCTATTCACAGTGCTTCAGAAGCACACCTGAAGCCTCAGAGAAGGACCAAGGTTTGTGCCTACCAGTCCCTGGGAGGCAGACGGCAGTGGTGTGCTCTTTGCTCTCTGGCACAGCAGCCACGTGCAGCAAACTCCTCTGCAGTAAGGTTCTGTCTGCATCCAGCTATATTAAGCCATCAGATTTCCAAATATTTGTTCTTGTTGCTTTGCTGTGTCAGGCTGGTTGTAAACTGTGGATGTCCCAGCTGTTGGTGATTGTGAGGGATAAGAGTCAGCATCTTACTACCTCTATGCTCATCACCGCTTATTTCTTGGTGGCTGCAGCCCTGAAAAGTGCCAATCCCAATGAATATACATTATGATTTAGTGCACTGTACAGCTGGGAATTGGGAAGGATTCTCCAAAGGTTTCCACTGGGGCTGCTTTCATCCAGATACTGTGCCTGGACCATAATATAAGACCCTAAGGTAAGCATATTGACCACTGCGGTCTGCTCCAAAAATGGTGTTTCTTTTAATTATGTTCACTGTCAGCCCTCTCTGGGGCTGAGAAGGCTGAAATCAGGCTGGAGACTTTTATTTCCTAAGATCACTTTTCCACTAACAACTTTCTGCCCCATTCTTTATGAAGACACTTAGAATTTCCACGCTGCAGAGCTTAATTAACAAAAATATCACTATTGTCAGAACGTCCGAAATTTATTGCTAGGGAAGAACAAGTGAGAAGCACCCAAGGACACTGGCTTTCATCGAGGTGTGCAGGAAAGACCTCAGGTGAATAAAAAAATCAGAGGTCTGGTTAACAATTCATTTCTGGAGTGGAAGTGGGAAATCGCAGGAGACCACAGAAGGACAAAAAGGATAACATGAGGGCAAGCTGCCAAACATCTGAGATGTCTTTACACTAATGCTAAGAGTGTGGAAAATAAACAGGAAGAACGAGAAGTCTTGGGATGCAACGAAGGCTGCAGTTTAATTGGCATCACAATGGCTCTGCGGAATTGATTGTGGCACTTTAATATTAGCACTGTGTAACTTGTGTAGGAAGGACAGGCAGGAGGAAAAGGAAGAGCATTATCTGGTGTGTTAGGAATGCATGTGGAGAAAGCAGGGAGGGACAGAGCTGTTGGAGATAAAATAGAGAGGAACAGTAGAACTCTATTAATGATCACTTAATGAGGAGGAGGAGGAGGTCGATGTCAATCTTCTGAGCAGCTTCTGGGATTGTATCAAGGAGATGAGGTAGCGGCAATGGAGGACTTTATCTAAGCAGATACCTGCTGCAAGAAAATAGACCAAAAAGCCAAGTAGAGCACAGACTGTTCCTCAAAGTTTCTGTTTCGAAGAGCAGAGACAGCTGCAGGAGACAGGGCCAAATGAGGTTGTGATAGATATAAGTAATAAAGAGGAGCTTGCTCAGAGGTAATCGGATCTCAAGCGTCAGTGGAGGACTGAGAGGAGGAGAGCAAGACCATATGGATCCTGTAAGTCAGATTTCCACACGTTCAAGGGGCTGATAGGGAAGGTCCTGCGCAGAGGAGCTGAAAGGGGAAAGCAGCTTCAGGGAACAGTCATTTGGAAAAAGTCCTTATAGAGATGGCCCTGCAGCAAGCTGTCCTGCTGGCAAGGGTGGCCTTAGATGAAACCAGAGGGCCCACATTAAGACTTGTTTGGTTATTTGACCAAAATGGAAAAAAAAGCACTGCTCTAGGATTAGTAGAAGGGAAAGGCTTAAGTTTAAGAAATAGAAAAGAGAAAATAAGTAAAATGAAAAGAAGGAAAAGGATGATCACTTCATGGGAATGGTGAGCAAAGGACAGGTGACAGAGGAGGCTGAGGTATGAAGCACCTTTGCAAATAGAGCTTACTTGATACAAGAGTCCAACCACACTTAGAGCTAGCAAGGGAATGCAAACATAGGCCTTGGAAAAAAACAAACAAACAAACAAACAAACAAACATGAAAGAACATCTGAATAAAGTGCACATGATTCAGGAAGCCCTGATGACAGTTTCTCTGGTATAATTAAAGAACCAACCACAGTTATTTTTGTAATACTAAGAGTTACATTTAGGATTACAGAAGAGTTATGAGCTACTAAGGATTACAGGGCAGCCAACCTGTCTCAGCTTTTTCAAATGCCTGAAAAATACTGTGAAAAACATCAAGTACTTTGTAACTGCAGAATGAAAATGTGATAGAAACATCTGACATGAATGTAACCAAAACAAATCATACCCAGCTAGTCTAATTTTCTTCACTGATAAGAATGAAATGAAACTCAAGGATTTAAGAAACTGGGTTTCCAAATGATCATGCTACATTCAAGCTGTGGTTTGACATAAGAACAGTGAAATGTAGTAGATTTAAGTGCAAAATAATCTCAAGCAAAATCTGCTGGGTAACAATCCTGCAGGAAAGAGTGTGAGCTTTTTAGTGGAATGAGATCTGAACATGGAATAATAAATGATCCTGTTGACCTGGATATTCCAGGATAAGATAACTAAAGTGATACATCTGGGAAATACTTAATAGTGCTTTGGACCTGATTAGGGCTCAGGTAATGTTCTGTGTTTAGTTTTAGGGATCTTGCAGGTCATTTTCTGGTGTCTTTTGGACCATTAATGGTCTACTGGCCTTGTACTGAACATCAGGGCCTGGTGATGCTTTCTGGGCATGTCAGACAAGTACCTGAGAGCAGGCAGCTCCTGGCCCATGGACCATCTGTTCCTTAGCTTCATTCTCAGAAAGGTCCCACAGGATGGGCCCTGCTTGGTCCCTGGGCATCAGGAGAAGCAGCAGCACGGCCCCTGGGAGCTCAGTGCACTCAGTGTCATTGTTTTTAAGGTATCTTCATCATTAGCTAACCAAAGAGAAAGAAAGCCATAGTACTCCCAAAACTTCACTTATGCACTCATCAGCAACTTACTCCCCTGGACAATACAGGCAACTTGAAGTGGGAGGAAGGGGATTTAATGCGATGCCTATTGGGACACCTCAGCTGGACAGTGCTGCTGCCAGGATGCCAT